CACAAACTACTCAGGCCTGAAAAAGGCATTCTGAATACACAAATTTTCTCCATAAAGCACATCCCGGCCTTCCTATGTTTAGGAACACTAGACAGCGCTTCAGCAGCATCCACGGGATTTTAAACTGTGAAATCACTTTTTAAAAGCACAAAAATGTGAAAAACGTGAGGCGAACTGACTAGGCTGTGAAAAGGACATTCGTTTACCAATGAGAGCCAAAGGAAGAAGGCATCTCTGCTGGGAAACTGTGCATCAGGCAACTGGATTTTTTTGTAGAGCTGCTTTGTACCTGCCAATCAATGACCATGAAAGCCTGGGCCGGGCACGGTGGCTCATGCCTGTAATCCCAGCAGTTTGGGAGGCCGAGGTGGGCAGATCACTTCAAGTCAGGAGTTTGAGACCAGCCTGGCCAACATGGCAAAACACTTTCTACTAAAAATTCAAAAATTAGCTGGGCGTGGTGGTGTGCGCTGGTAATCCCAGCTACTCAGGAGGCTGAGGCAGGAGAATTGCTTGAACCCTGGAGGTGAAGGTTGCAATGAGATCATGCCACTGTACTCCAGCCTGGGCAACAGAGTGTGACTCTGTCTCAAAAAAGAGAAAAAAATAATAATAAAGCCTGAGAGAATTGGGTTTTATGGTTACAAATAAATTTTAGGCCAGTTTACAAATGCAGAATCTCGAAATAGTGAGGATTGGCTATATGTGTTTTCTCAAAGATCAGTTCTTTTCATGTGCCTTGGTCTTTATCTTCTGCGCTGCTTGTTTTTCTTTGGTGTCCGCTGGTCTTTGCTTATTTTTATTTATGGGTGAGTGACTGTTACTGCTAGTAGAGAAAACTGGTATTGGCATTTTTCTCCTGCTGGGTGCTCTGTTGGGTTAACAACGTACTCTCTCCACTGGGGAGGCTGACTGCATTTTGTGGAGTGCGTGGAGTGGGTTGGCAGCATTTCCTAAGGATGTGTGAGCCAAGAGCAGGCTGGGGCACCCTCAGACTCACAAAGCAAGAAGGATTTTCCATTGAGCACGACGAACCATTTGAACGTATTTTCTTCCTCCCTGCCCCTTTCCCCGTTGGTTTTGGAGTACTCATTTATTTCCAGCTCTTAACTTTTCTCTTTCAAGTTCTAATTGTCTCACTAAGACAGTGGTTTTTGACCAAATCACTCCATGATTGTCCATAACTCATTTCTATTCTTTGCATTTATTAATTGGAGGTTGGATCTTCTGGAATTTTCTTTTTTTTCTTCTTTTTTTTTTTGAGACGGAGTCTCGCACTGTCGCCCAGGCTGAAGTGCAGTGGCCGGATCTCAGCTCACTCCAAGCTCCGCCTCCCGGGTTCCCGCCATTCTCCTGCCTCAACCTCCTGAGTAGCTGGGACCACAGGCACCTGCCACCACGCACAGCTAATTTTTTTGTATTTTTAGTAGAGATGGGGTTTCACCACGTTAACCAGGATGGTCTCGATCTCCTGACCTCATGATCCGCCCGCCTCGGCCTCCCAAAGTACTGGGATTACAGGCGGGAGCCACCGCGCCCGGCCAACCTTCTGCAATTTTCTACTTACTGATGGTGATATGGGCTCTTTCTTCTTTTGTATTTTCTTTCTCAGTCTGATCTGCTTCCTGACTTCCTGGAAACCCTCCAAGTTTCTTGATTTCGGATGGCACTCTTTCTGGATTTCTAGCCCAGTCTGATGATATTACTTCATCATTTCAGTGGGGTTTAGGAGGGAGGCAGAGATCCAGGTGATCTGTCTGCACTGTTCCGTCAGAAAGCTGGATGGTTTTCCTCACTGTTTAGCTGTGAATCATACTTAGAAAGTGGTTTAAATGTGAATGTCTTA